AAGTTGGTGTTGTTATGCTGGACTAGTAGCGATTACTCAATTAACAATGAAGTTAGGACAACTTAAAAAGATCCATGCAAAAAGTAAACATATCTTTTTGAGTAAACCCATTACATTATTTGTTAGAGTGTAAGATGACCATTGGCTGGATCAGTATTTTGCTTTGATATAAAATCTAAGAAATGGGTTTTTAAGCTAAAGCCTGTAATATGATGGAACATATATAAAGCTATATACATGCATTATCTTTTCAAAAAAATTAAAAATCACCCTTTGAGTTATTCAATTTGTAATGCAACTTTGAACTTGGAAAATGTATCAAGGATATTTCAAATGCCGTAAACCACTCTTCAATTCACAAGCTGTACATCTTATACTTGGTGCTTGCATTTACAAGGCTTTTATTTTCCAAATTCTGAGTGAGAGATTAGTTACAGTGTTCAAGTTTTAACATATTGTTTAACTCACTACAGGGCAGCAGCGGAGATGATGCCCAGATGGAACTCAAACAACTTACCATGGCAGAGTTTGTGATTCGGAAGGAGGGAGAGGGATGTGAAGAACCCCCAGAAGACATTGGCATCGTCATTGAGGGAGTGGACTTGTTGCAGGACCTGACTTCAGTTGCCTCAGCATGTGCCCTGCTTCTGGGTTTGATATATTCCCTTAACCTGGCTTATCCAAAGGCTCTGCGCTTAACATTTGAAGTGTTCCAAAAAATCTTCATGCAGCTTGAGCAGCACAAGATGTCTCCCAAAGTTCAAAATTTGTTTGGAAGACTTCAGACCTCACAGTAAAGACACTGGCATGTTGTGCAACAGGACAGAAGATCTTCAGTCTTCTTTGTTTGGACAGAAGAGCGCCATGTTTTGGAAGCGTAACACCTCAAGAAACTGCACTTTGTGAACTTCTTTTGGGACTTTTGTTCATATTAAAGCCACAAGTAATACAGAGTTTACTGGATAACAATTGTGACTGGTATTTCTGGAGGATGTTTACTGATGAGGTTGTGATGCACATTATCATTTTGGGAGTAGGTCTTTTTTGTTTTTGTCATTTCATAAAGTTACATGGTAAATCTCTTTGGTTTTGTGTGGGGAAAAAATACAAGTTAAGGGGGAAAAATTAAAGTAGGAAAGTAGTAGGCTACTGCAGTTTGTGGACACTATCACAGAATTTTCTTTTTGCATTTTTCTTTTAATTTGAATCAACAGATTTATGCATTGTTTTTTGAAGGAGGTTGAATGGATCTAGATCATAATGTTAATTATTCTGTTCTTTTCTGTTGTCAGTTAAATTAACGGACTTGGTTTAAACTAGGCAGCTATTACACCACATCTTTGTTTGAAAACTTGCCTAAATATTTTTTGGGTATTGCTCTTATTTTCAGTGGTCACTAGTGTAATTATATTTTATGTCAAAAACATGTTCTCAGCAAATGTTACGGTTTAAGAGTGTGGATTTTCTTTTTTAGGAGGACTTGTGTTAAATCTAAAAAAGCATTTTTTTTCCCTAAGGAATACTTGTGGATTCTACAACCTCACACAGGGGTGTCCAAGTCTTGTCCAGGAGAGCTACCATTGTGCAACTTTCAGATGGACCCTATTTCAATACCACCTGAAGCTAATTTCTGAATTTACACAACAGCAGACATTCAGCTCAGCAGATGCGTTGTAATGAGCAGTTCATTTGATTCAGATGTATTGGAGATGGGATGCATCTGAAAGTTGCAAGATGATGGCTCTCCAGAACTGGACTTGGGCACCTCTGATCTAGCAGGTCGCTGAAATGTAATATCCCTTATGATGTTTCAAAAGATTTGTGTAGCATGTTTAATGCATAATATTTTGTGAAAAACCTGTAAGTTTGTGATGCTTTCACAATAAAATTTAAAATGTTCCATTTGTGTAGATTTATTATTTTAACCAAGTAGAATTTCTGAGTAGCATGAAGGTATTTTACTCCTATTTTAAAAACTGAAACAACATGCTAAAAAAAACTTTTAAAATGATTTAAATGGAAGCTATATTTTAAGTAAAATGTGAGTGATAATTTAATTTGGGGTAGTTTAAAATTTTGAGTTGACTTTCTATAAAATTAAGTAAGATGGATTTAAATTTTTAATTTGGAATAAAGTAAATGAATTGATTAAGACTGACTTAAATTTGTCAAGTTAACCAAACTTAATAAATTAGGGTGGATAAAATTAATTGAATTACTTGTTACCAATTGAAGCAATTCAAGTAAGTTGGATCAACTTATTTCTTTTTAGAGTATCATAGTCCCTAGTTTACCTTTGATAATGGAAATTGTTCAGTTTCAATAACCTTTTAATAAAGGTTTTATGTGAATTCATGCATCTGAGAGTTTTTTTATTTCACATACCAACTGAAGTGGACTAAGTGTACCATCAACATAAACAATAATATAAATAAAGTTAAATGTTGTGTAGTAAATTGAACATAAAAGTGTCAAGTAAAATAAACCTGGTGCAAGTACACCTAATCTAATGATGGGAAGTAACAGCAACATAACTCTATGATGTACCATATAAGTAACTGATTTAAGTTACATTTATTTAAAATGTGTTTTTGCAATTAATTGCATGTTATTGTTCAGTTTAAGCAACAAAGTTTTGTGCAACCCGGTTGCCATAACTTGGTAATTAAATAGAACATTTCATTTCTTAGAGTGTAGACTCAAGGTGGTGTCAGTCGAAGTGACTGACACGATCATACCACAGACAGATTGGTGGTCCGCCGTTTGGTGGTGTGGAGGCTCTGGATTCAAGCTGGGAGGGTCGCCATCAATGGTTCACAATTTCTCGCACTCATCAAAAGAGACCTGACCTGCATTTACAAACAGGTTTATAGTCTAAACTTTTATACATTCATCTCATTCATTATAATCAAAGTGTTGTACAACTATAAATGCGTTTTCCAAATATTAAACTGTATAAAGTTATAACAAACAGTTACTTTGGTGACTTTCAATTATTACAGTGTCAGAATAATTCCATTCTAACCCATTACAGACAAAACGTAAATTGAAATGTGATTATTTGGTCACACTTTAACTTGTAATCTCTGTTTAACTCCCTTTTTAACATATTTTTATATTTTAAACCAAAATACATTGCTTTCAGCTCCATGAATTAACATAAATGACATTTTTATTGTATTTAACCTATGAAATTAACAATTTACAATCAAATACCTTTCATGTAAGGTACACAGCATGGGAGTGGACCCGCACCTGGTCACCTGGATCCACAGCTACCTCACCAACAGGCCGCAGTATGTCAGGCTGAAGGACACCAAGTCTGACACTGTGGTCAGCAGCACAGGAGCCCCCCAGGGCACAGTGCTGGCCCCTCTTCTCTTCACCCTGTACTCCTCTGACTTCCACTACAACTCAGAGCTGTGTCACATACAGAAGTATGCTGATGACACAGCCATAGTCGGATGCATCAGGGATGACAGAGAGGAGGAGTACCGACATCTGGTGGGGGACTTTGCCCTTTGGTGCCACACAAACCACCTGGAGCTCAACACCTCTAAGACAAAGGAGCTGGTTACAGACTTTGGGAGGTCCAGACCAAAGCCGAGACCAGTCGTACTAGAGGGAACTGAGGTGGAGGCCGTGGACTCCTACAAGTACCTCGGGGTGTGGTTGGACAGCAAACTGGACTGGTCAAAACACACCAGCAACCTGTACGGGAAGGTACAGAGCAGGATGTACTTCCTCAGGAGACTGCGGTCTTTTAACATCTGCAACAAACTACTGTGTATGTTTTACCAGTCTGTGATAGCCAGTGTCCTCTTTTACACCGTGGTGTGCTGGGGAGGTAGCACATCCAAGAAGGACACGTCCAGACTGGACAAACTGATCAGGCGGGCTGGCTCCGTGGTCGGCATGAAGCTGGACTCTCTGGTGACGGTGGCAGAGGCCAGGACACTGAACAAACTGATGGACATCATGGCCGACAGCAGCCACCCTCTGCACACCGTCATCAGCAGCCAGAGGAGCCTGTTCAGTGACAGACTGCTGCTTCCCAAGTGCCGGACCAATAGACTTAAAAACTCTTTTGTCCCCCACGCCATCAAACTGTACAACACCTCACTGGGGGCGAGGAGGTGACACAGGACAGGGGGAAGAGAGATCACATACACATACACTGTACTTAATCTGTATTTTTTGTATTTTTATTTATTTATTTGTATATTTTTGCTTAAACTGATTCTAACTTGACACTGTTTGCCCTTTAAGCTGCTGGTAACCTTAATTTCCTGAGGGAGTCTTCCCAAGGGATCAATAAAGTACTGTCTAAGTCTAAGTCTAAGTCTAATATGAATTTACTGTAGTAACTCTGCGTGCATTACTGCAGATATTTGATTCAATAATAAAATAAAATGCCCACAGTAACATAAATAGTCTGTAATTTAACTTAAAAGTGTGCAAAATCAAATTTTTCAATCTCTATCATCAAACAACATAACACATGATCATACAGTAATTAGCATGAGTGAGAGCTAGCTTACCAAGGGATGGAGTTGTGTTTACCCACTAACTTGCTCCTTCCGCGCTCATCCACGCTCTAGACAGGATTTTTACAAGTTAACATAATTAACTGACACAACCAAAGGTTTGAGCACCGAAAACTGAGGTTTTCATACATTTTCCTCTCTTTTCTTATCACACGTGGGTGAAAGAGCGGGGCTCCGTGAACCAGCTAACGAAGTTAAGCTAGATGCACTGTTGTAAGCATCGCACTTCCTGTGTTATCCAAATAAAACTTCCGGTTTTCAAAATAAAACCCTGTATCAATACAATTATGTAGAAACAACAAAAATACTACTTGAACCCTAACTGGTGGGTTACACACGGCATTGTTTCAATCCCGGGTAAAATTATTCAGACATTGTCGCCTACAACACAGTCATTTTTCTAAAGTTAGCCTTTTACCATGTTTCTATGACAGTTGCATTTGTAGTTTTCAGTCTGTTGATGCACTTAAAGCACATCTATCAAGATGTCACAGCTATGCAGAAAGATTAGACATAGAAAAAGACGCTCATACATATTATTCATGCCACTTGTGTAACTTCAAGCATCCCTTTTCTGAGACGGTACTGTTTGGACATTTGAAAAGTCATTTGAGAAAGCATGAGATGGTCGCTTGTCCATTCAGGAACTGTAACTACCACACAAATGTTTACTCTTCCTCCAATGCACACAAAAGCAGAGCCCATTCTGGTAATTCAGATTATGAAGATGTTATGGTGTCCGTAGAGAATGATGACACTCCAGCAACATCTTTTGCTGATGGTGTTGATGAGGGACCTACTCAGGGTGAAGCTACAGGTGACTTTAATCAGACTGAAAATGAGAGTGATAGTGACACAGTTGCTCCATAACTTGGCGTCATTATTTTTAAAGATGCAAACTATTCTCCATGTCTCTGAATTGGCAACTCAGGAAATTGTAGAACATTTGTCTCCAATATTCTACTTGTCCCAGTCATCAGGAAGACCATACAAGAGGTCTTATTGATACAAGAGACTGTTGTTAGTGAAACATGTTTAGATGAGCTTGTCAGTTCTGTTATGAGCTGTACCATTTTTACTAGTGCAACTGCTAAAGGTGAGAAATTAACTACGACTAAGAGGAGGAAAACTTATGTTGAAAGAAATTACCCTGTGGTAAGGCCTGTGCAGTATGAACTAGAACCAGGACACACTACTGTGCACATTTCCATTCTTGAGATGATTCAGGAAATGTTTAGACATACTGACATTCTTGATAAAATTAAAGAAACCAAACCAGCACAACAAGGTCAGTACATGAGCCACCAAGATGGATCATATTTCAAAGATAATGAACTAGTGTCCTCAAAAGAGCTAACGTTGCCCCTACTTTTGGTGTCTGACAATCTTGCAGCTCATTGTTTTGCAGGCTTTATGAAGTCTTTTAGGGCCAAATATTTTTGCAGATTCTGCACTGATACCTTAGCCCAAATTCAGTCTTATGAGGTTGCAGATAAGGAGTTCAGCGTGAGAACAGAAGCCAGCCATGATCATGACTTGAATATTTTGAAGCAGGGGGAAAAAGTGAGTCAGCGTGGTTTCCAAGGGGAGTGTGTTCTCAACCAGAGGTTGGAGTATTTTCATACAGTAACTGGTTTCCCACCTGATGTCTAACACGATCTACTTGAGGGCATTGTGCCTGTAGAACTGGCCTTGGGTATTAGAAAGATGATCCGTTCCAAATACTTCACTCTTCAGTATTTGAACAAAAGAATAGCATCATTTCCATACCAGCAGACAGACAGTGTTGACAGACCCCACTGTATCCCAAAGACATATGCTAATAAGAACACCATTGGAGGCAATGGTCATGAGAATGCTACGTTACTTAGGTTACTCCCTTTGATTATTGGTGATAAAATTCCTGAGGAAGATGGAGCTTGGATTGTGCTCATGGATTTGAAGGAAATAGTCGAGTTGGCGCTGTCTCCAAAATTTACTGAGGAAGCTATCCAGTATTTAGAGACAAAGATTAAAGACCATCGGCAAATGCTGAAGGAAGTCTTTCCTAACTTTACATTCCGCCCAAAACACCACTATGTTGAGCATTATCCTGACCTCATTCGCTGCTTTGGCCCCGTTGTTCACCTGTGGACAATTAGATTTGAGGGTAAACATTGCTTTTTCAAGCGTACTGTTCATGACACACAAAACTTTAAGAATGTGTTAAAAACATTAGCATGGAGGCATCAGTACATGATGGAATACTATTTGAGTGCCCCATCTTTCTTTAAACCTCACCAACAGACATCAAGTATGTCTTCTGTGATGGTTTGTACACTCCCTGACATTGCCTAGGCACACATAACCCCGAAAACTGACTGCAACATGATTTACAGTACATCAAGGGTAACCATAGATGGAACTGATTATGCTGCAGGAATGTTTGTGTCAGTTGGCACTGCCAATGTTTAGTAGAACTGAACAGATATTCCTGGTGAACAATCACATTGTTTTCCTTTGCCGTGAACATGAATCACGATACATTGAACACCTGTGCTCCCATGAACTTGTATCATGAGATTTGGCAGTTCACATCACATCAGAGCTCAATGACACGTTGCCTCTCTCAGCATATTTCAGACAAGGAAAAATTCTCATAACACCAAGGCGACATAGATTCATTAAATGAGAAGCAAATAGATGCATTTATTGTTAAAACTGGACAATATCTCTTTCAAAAGACTACTGTGTAATCCTTGATCTGTGTATTCAAACATTTTCTTAACTTTTTAGTGTGTTAAAAACAGAAGACAGAGATGGCTGCCCCCCAGAAATTCCTGCTACGTGTTTATGTGGACACTGATACTGCCATCAAGCTCAGTCTTGATAGCTGACCAAAATCTGTTGAAGAGTTGAAGATGATGATGCAAGAGAAGTTCAAGCCAAGACTGGATAGTGACTTCAGCCTTCAATATGAAGACCCAGACTTTGATGGGCAGCCAAGTGTACTTGTAGATATAGAGGAACTTCCAGAGAAGGCTACATTGAAGGTTATGAGATCTGAAAGTGCCAAGTCTTCTACTGCAAGTTCGGATACAGACATACTTCCACATGTACCCTTAACTAATCGTCAGAAGAAGTGGCCGGATGCTTTCCCTGTGCCAACTTTCTCTTATGAAGTGGAACATGTACTTGAAGAAAGAAATCGTGTCTTCCAGATATCTGGAAAGTCTGTGAAATTGACAAGACAACACAACACTGACAACCCCCCGCACACCTCAGCACAATCTCCGCCCCACATCACCACAGACCAGGTGAGAGAACAGCTGAGGAAGCTCAAGCCCAGGAAAGCAGCAGGGCCGGACCAGGTGTGTCCAAGACTCCTGAAGACCTGCGCTGCTGTACTTGGAGAGCCGCTACAGCGGATCGTCAACCTCAGCCTGGAGCTAAGGGAAGTGCCCACCCTCCCGAAGACATCCTGCATCGTTCCAATGCCCAAGAAGAACAGGCCCAGCGAACTGAATGACTTCCGGCCCGTGGCACTCACTTCCTTGGCCTCCTCAGACCTCAGGTGCAACATGCCTAAGACCGCCTGCAATTCGCCTACCAGCCAGATGTCGGTGTGGAGGATGCCATTCTCCACCTGCAGCACCGGGCCCACTCCAATCTGGATAAGGGCAGTGGCACAGTGAGGATCCTTGTCTTGGACTTCTACAGTGCCTTTAATACAATCCAGCCCCTTAAACTATACAGCATGGGAGTTTTTTGTTTATATTTACGTAGTGAGCACATGCGTAAGCGAACAACGACAGGTGATGCTCGTAAGAAAAAAAAGTGATGCTGGTAAGCTAGCCCTCAACATGTCAGCCCACGGCAAAAAGAGGAAAATCGACACAGAATGCCACGTTTTCAACAAGACATGGACTGCTAAATATTTATTTACAGAAGTCAAAGGTAAAGCCGTGTGCTTAGTTTGTGGTGTACAGGTCACCGTGCTTAAGGATTACAATTTGAACTGCCACTATGTGACCAAACATGAGGAGAAATACAAGAACTTGTCTGACCAATAGCGCGCAAAGGAGTCGGATGCTTTGCTAGCTAAGCTGCAAAACCAACAAGGACTTTTTACAAAACTTTGCACATCCAGAGATGCAGCTGTCAAGACAAGTTATGTCATATCCCACAAAATCGCTAGAAAAAGTAAGGCGTTTTCTGACGGGGAGTTTATTAAGGAGTGTTTGTTGGACTCTAATATGCCCTGAGAAAAAGGGAGTTTTGAGAACGTGCCTCTCTCACGACGGACTGTAACGAGGAGGGTGGGGGACATCGCGGGGAATCTGGAACTTCAGCTGAAGAACAGAGCGGTCAGCTTGGACAACTTTTCCCTTGCTTTGGATGAAAGCTGCGATGTAAGTGACACTGCCCAGCTACTTATTTTCATATGTGGTTTGGACAAGTTGGAACTAAAATGGGACAAGCTGGCATGTGTGACAACAGATGGTTCTCCAAATCTGACTGGGAAAAATGTTGGACTTTTGAAGATAATGCAGGATAAAGTGACAGAAATTAACCCTGAGCAGAAATTGACATTTTTGCATTGTATTATACATCAGGAAGTGTTGTGCTTCGGGAACCCATGTATTCGAAACACCTGGGTAATCAGGATCTCGGCAGTCTCCTTGGCAGAGGGCAGGGCGATGAACCGGACTATCTTCGAGAAGCGGTCCTCTATTGTGAGAACCACGGTGTTTCCCAGAGACGTCGGGAGACCCGTCACAAAGTCAATAGATATGTCCGACCAAGGTCGGAGGGGAATCGGTATTGGTTGGAGCAGTCCGGAACGTGGTCGGATGGATGTCTTGTTTCAGGCGCAGACCGGGCAGGCAGCAACATATTCCCAGACTTCCGCCTCCATGGATGGCCACCAGAACCGCCGGGAGATGGCGAACTTAGTTCGTCTGACTCCCGGGTGGCAGAAAAGCGGCGAGGCATGAGCCCAGAGGATCACCTGTGAGCGCCCCGGAGCTGGGACGAACAGTCTGTTCTACGGGCACCCACTAGGTGGTGGAGCTACGCTGTTGGCCGCTCCGACCACACAGGACCGTGGAAGGATGGGTTCGGGTTCTTTGGCAACAGGCTCGGGGTCGTACAACCTGGACAGCGCGTCGGGCTTGACGTTTTTGGATCCCGGTCTGTAAGAAATGGAAAATGAAAAGCGGTTAGAAAAAATATAGCGTCCACCTGGCCTGGCGAGAGTTTGGCCTCTTAGCCTGTTGGATATATTCTGCGTTTTTATGGTCATTCCAAAGCAACAACGGCTGGCTCGCCCCCTCCAGCCAGTGGCGCCACTCCTCCAGCGCCACCTTAACCCTTATATTATGTCGAAAAAAATTACATTGATTATGTTGAAGGTTATTTTGACCCGCGCTGTGTAAATTCATGCAAAACAGTCAAGAAAACAGGTTAAACCAATAAACAATTTATTTTAGATTACTTAAACATTTAGTCAAGTGACAAACAATACATTTTTAATTCCAACACTTTATTTAAGAATTATTTTTTTCAAGTTTTCCATTTTCACAAAAACATTTCTTTTGAACTTTACCCATAACATGCGCTATGTACAATTTCAAAGTTCTCCACATAATGGGTAGAATGTAACTATGTGCTTTCTACAGATGTATTTCATCCATTTCACACAACAGGTACTTGTTTTATGTCCTCTCGGGAGGGACATACGGGGCATCTTTTCCTCTTCTTTTCACCTGTCTCCTGTAGATGGTGGTTGGGTGACCAAAGCTTGACCTTTTCGATTATAGCTGCTGCTGATGCTGGGGATCGAGCTGGCCTGGCTCGAGTCTGCATCTTGGGAGTGACAAGTGCTTTGCCGAGTTCTTCCAGGAAAAGCCGACGTCGATACAATTTGCCGGCATTCCATTGCTGGTTAATTTCAGTCCACAGGACATAGGCATTGTATGCAGACACGTCCACAACGTTGTAGAAAATCACCAAAGGCCAACGGGCAGTCTTGCGCTGCCAGCTGTAAGTTGCTGTGACTTTGTCGAGATTATCAACTCCTCCTTTGGTGCAGTTATAATCCAGGATTATTTGTGGCTTCAAGTCCGCTCTTGTGCTCAGAGATGCATCAGCGTGCATTGTACTCATAACAATAACATTCTTGTTTTTCTTTGGGCAGTATGAAACAACTGTCGCTTTTTTCAGTGAAGGCAAAGACTGAGGAATGCTGAGGTCTGCCCTGCATCTTCAAAATTTCACTGGGAAGTTCTGTCTTATTTTTTCTCACTGTTCCCAACACGGTCAGCTTTCTTTTGTGAAGTTCTTCTCCAAGCCGGTACGACATAAAAAGGTTGTCACAAGTGATGTTATGACCTTGCAGCCCTTCAATCATCTCCAGCACCATACGCATCTCCTGATTCTTCTCAGCTTTTCCTCCAGGTAGCTTTCCAGTATATACTTGCATATTCCATGCATAGCTGGATTTTGCATCACAGGCTGCCCATATTTTTATGCTGTACTTGGCAGGCTTGTTGGGCATGTACTGTCGGAAAGGACAGCGCCCTCTGAATGGAACAAGACGCTCATCTACAGAAACATAGGGACCAGGATTGTACAACAGTGGTCAAATTTCAACCCATTTATCCCACACATCTCTGATTGCAGCTAGTTTGTCTCTTTCACTTCGACCAGCTCTTGTGTCGTGATTGTCAAAGCGGATCACACAAGATATCATGTGGAATGTCTCCAGAGACATTGTTGCACGAAAGATTGGCCTTCCATTCTCTTCATTCCATAGACTTGCAGTTGCCTCTCCCTTTGACCTGTACACTCCAGTTAATAACAGGACTCCTATATAAGCATTCAAGTCAGTCTGATCCAGTGGCTTCCACTTCTCTTGAAACGTCTCCCTTCCAAGTTTGTCATTTCCAGTATAATCCTTTCTATTGGTGGGGATATGAAGAGCTGAAATGCTGATTGGATCTCATCAATTTGTGTGATGGCAAATCTTGTAGGACCAGGAGTCATTTTTATCAAAAATTAGCTGATGACAATCTGCTTCGACTCTGGTGTGTTGATGTTGACCGTTTTATATTACCGTCCTTAGATGTCCATGTCACCTCTGTGGAAGATGATTGCAGCATTCCTGGGTTTTCATCTGTTGGATGCACATTGGCGGACTCGTCCTCTGAATACTCTGAATCCTCTGAATCCTCCTCATCATTGGAAAATTGATAATCTGGATCATCAATAACATTGTCTTCTGATTCTGAAAGATCCTCTGTCTCAGAAACCTCTTCCTCTACATCACTATCCCAGTTCAAAATTTGAGATAAAGCTTCCTCAACTGTAATCCTTCGGGAGCTCATATTTGGTGAAGATGACGGGAGAGCAGTGACAAGGAATAGTGTGAGAAAGTTCCCTCCCTTCACACACCTGGCTCTGGGTCTCAGAGGTAAACAAAATAGGTAGAGTACATCAAAGAGTTGTTTTTATTTTGGATCTGAACAGCTACTTGCGCACATTAAAGTGTCCGGGTCAAAATGACCCGCATCTTCATCTTTGTATACACACTCTGCACCCCACTACACATCAAAGTCACCAGATTTCACACACAAGTTCATGACCCCAGATGAGGAAAAGTCACCAAATTTCATGACGAAAAAAAAGGATAACCACCACTTTGATCAACACAAAAACTGAAACGGGTCAAATTGACCCGTTACTCAGATTACAATTCTGTTGCCATAATGCCAAACACGACAAGGGAAAAAAAAAAAGAAGAAAGAAAAATGTGTAAAAGTATAACATTAAAATAAATGCTAGAGTGGCCTACTTATAGTTTCATTTAGGTATTTTTTTTCTTTTTGTGCAGTCACTTTACAGTGCCATGCAACTCCACATGAACACTGCCAAACACAAGGAAAAATTATTTTGCTACATAGAGGAATAAATCAAATATATTCCCCAGATAAAATGTGAGGCTGTTTGCAGACTTTTTGTTGTCGTCTTGTTCATCATGAACTCGGCTCTTCATGGATAGATATAATTCATTATTCACTTCATGATGTCCCCACGAGCATGTTTTGCTTGATCGGTTTAGTTAGTTCTATAAAACAATGAGGTCCCTTGTTGGATAGGTGAGACAATCTGAGCAGCATGTCTCTGAGTGTGAATGTTTGTAGTGTGTGGGGATTAGCACAGGGACCTGAGTTCACGTCACCACACATTCACACCTTTAATTGAGAGTTGCATCATTCTGAGACAAGACTATGAATCTAATAAACTAATAGTAATGAATATGCTGCATTTGAATGATTCTTTCTACTGTTACTGATGTTAGATATCTTCATTTAATAAATGCATATTCATTGAAGAAATGCACTGCAAATTTATTTCTAGAACATTCTTACATTAATCAGCCTTTCAACTGTAGCAATTCTTTGTTTTCAACAGATTATGTGGTCTGTCTTGGTCTGTTAGTGTAGGGACCTCTGCAAAATATGATTATTCTAATAGCAAGCAATGTTTAAGACTTCATTTAGATCAATTTCTATTCACACAGAATCAAAAGGTAAGTCACTTTGAACTTGCAAAACAAAACTATTTGAAAGAGATTTTTTTTTTGCCAATCAGCCTTATGACAAGGTTACATGCCATCTCGATTTAGTAGATTAAGGGGAAGTAGGACTTAAGATGCATTTATCCATGTTAACACACACACACACACACACACACACACACACACATACATAAATGCATATATACAAACACACAACACGATTAACAGTGCCGTACACACAAAACAAGCCCGGCTAGCTCAGTCGGTAGAGCATGAGACTCTTAATCTCAGGGTCGTGGGTTCGAGCCCCACGTTGGGCGTAGTTGATTTTCCAGATGAACAGACATACAGGCATTCAAACCATAACACCTAGACATATACATATGTACATAGGTTCATACGTACATGCATATATGAGACTCTTAATCTCATGGTTGTGGTTTGAGCCCTACGTTGTGCCTGTAGTAATTTACCAAATTTCCTTTTCTAGATGAATGAAGTAATTTTTCTATCTACATACACGTAAAAAATGTTTGTTTGAAAATAAATTAAGAACACACATACGTATATACAGACATACATACAGACTTACACACATACAAGCATTCACACCTTAACGTCTGGACGCATACATATGTACGCACGTACGTACATACATACATACATACATACATACATACATACATACATACATAC